TAATCAAGTTCCAGTGTCCTTGAGAAAGGATTCCTTCACAGCTCTTTCAACTTTCAATAAAGTATCTTCAAGCCTCTAGTTGGCAGTGTTACAAAGTTTCTTTAATCCACTCCCCCTTCTTTCCCAAAAAAGCCTAATAAAAAAAGGGAAATATACATGTATATGTATGTATTTAAGAAAAAAAAAATTACTAAAGGGAGCCTCTATTCTAAAAAAAAAAACTATTAGCAATTCAAAAGGGGGAAAAAAGAAAGAAAAATTAGGTGAATATAAAAGGAAAAACCAGTCTAGTTACAGTTACTAGATCACAATGGAAGTTCAATGAAAGCAAAAGTAAAAGTAAAAAGCCAAGCCTCAATTTGACATTCTCTTTAAGAAATCGCCGCTAAATCAGTTTCATCAGTTTTTGTCCAAAGTCTTACAGGATTCTTCTCATTTTAGAGTGTCCTTGAGTCCCCGAGAAAAAAAAAATTCTCACCAGCCGATGCACTCTCCTTCAGCCTTTCCTTCTGGAGCTGTCACAGCTTCAGCAGCCTAATGGCTGCCTCTCCGCCGATGGTAAAAGGGCTTCTTCTGGATCAGCCAGGGACTGCGATGTCCCTGGGATCAACAGAACGCGCCCCTTACTATCACCGTCTCTACGGGACGGTTTAGGTCCATTAGGACCGACCAGGGGCGAAGATATCAGCTGCAATCTCAGAGCCCCAAGATTGCAGCTGTATCGCAGCAACGTGGCTCCGCCTTCCCCCCCACTTTGTTTTAAACCATTTTTAAAGTCATCATACCTCTATTCCTTTTCTTCCCCCACTGCCTCCCAACCTGAATTCCTTATGATTACAAAATGCTTTTTTTTAAAAAAAAAACTGTTTTCCGTTTCACTAGAATGACATGTTTTTAAATACAGGACAGGCAAAAGAAGGCAGGACACACTGCTGGTGTATAAAGATAAGAGCAGAAATAAAGATATTTGTAAAGACATGTTCCTTAAAGTCATCTATACTTAGAAATGTTATTTCTACACTACTACTAACTCTAATATAGGCATATGCATATAGAACAAGTGATGTGTTTGGTTCGAGGGGCCGCATTATCACCCCACAGTTTAACAGATTTAACAGATAATCAGAGTTGGAAGGGACTTGTAGGTCATCTAGTCCAACCCCCCCCCCCCCTTCGCCCAAGTGGGAGACCCTACACCATTTCTGACAAATGGCAGTCCAATCTCTTCTTGAAAGTCTCAAGTGATGGTGCTCCCACAACTTCTGAGGGCAAGCTGTTCCATTGGTTGATTGTTCTCACTGTGAGAAAGTTTCTCCTTATTTTCAGGTTAAATCTCTCCTTGTTCAGTTTCCATCCATTATTCCTTGTCTGGCCTACAGGCGCTTTAGAAAATAGCTTGACCCCTTCCTCTCTGTGGCAGCCCCTCAAATATTGGAAAACTGCTATCATGTTTCCCTTGGTCCTTCTCTTTACTAGACTAGCCAAGCCCAGTTCCTGCAATCGTTCCTTGTATGTTTTAGCCTCCAGTCCCCTAATTATCCTGGTTGTTCTTCTCTGTACTTTTTCTAGAGTTTCAACATCTTTTTTATAATGTGGTAAACAAAACTGGATGCAGTACTCTAGGTGTGGTCTTACTAAGGCTTTATAGAGTAGTATTAGTACTTCCCTTGATCTTGATTGTATCCCTCTGTTAATAAAATTTAGGATTGCATTAGCTTTTTGGGCTGCTGCTGCACACTGCTGGCTCATATTTAGCTGATTGTCCACTAAGACTCCAAGATCCCTCTCACAGTTACTGTTATTGAATTTGAAACACCTTGTTGCCTTCAAAACTTCAGAACAACAACAAAAAGTACAGTTAGTCCTTGACTTATAATAGGTCATTTAGTGACTGTTCAGTTACAGCACCACTAAAAAAAGTGACTAATGACTGTTTTTCACTTACAACCATTGCATCTGTCTGGAATCCACACTGTATATCAGACATTAATACAATTGAGCGAGTCCAGAAGTATTTCACGAGAAGAGTACTACACTCCTCTGCTTTCAACAGAATACCCTACACCACCAGGCTTGAAATTTTGGGCTTGGACAATCTTGAACTACACCACCTGTAGTTGGATTTAAACATAGTACACAAAATTATCTGCTACAATGTCCTACCAGTCAATGACTACTTCAGCTTCAACCACAACAATATAAGAGCACACAACAGATACAAACTCAATGTTAACTGTTCCAAACTTGATTGCAGAAAGTACTTCAGCAACAGAGTGGTCAGTGCCTGGGATGCACTACCTGACTCTGCTGTGCACTGTTGAAAGGTGTCAAAATGCTTTTCTTTCGAGGATTTGATTTTCCCGCTGGGAGAGCTCTGGCGCAAGAATACAGACAACTGCTTGAAAGCTGGATCTTTTTATTTTTCAGGAAGGTGGAGAACAGCAAGAAGTCTGCGTTCCTGGGCTAGCTAGCTTCTTATGGTAAGTCCCTGGGTTTTTATACCCTTTTCTCCCTTTGTAAGTTGATTTTGTGTGAGTGTTTGTATTTGTGCCTAATGTTTCAAATCCTGTTTGAGTTTGTCTTTATTTCCACCGGAGGGCAAACTCCACGGGGTGGCCAGATTGTATTATTGGTCTTCTGTAATCTCTTTTAGCTTTAAGATAATTTTTCATATTTGTTCTGTGGCAATCTCCTGTCTGTCCCTTTTATATTTTGTGTCTTTTGTCTGTTTGTTTTGCTTATTTGGTATGTCCTGTGTTTGTAAGGGTTTTCTAAATTATCTTTTGTTTCCTTTTCCTATTTGTCTAGTTTTCTTAATTACTTTGGCTTTTGTCTATAGGGATTCTTTAATACTTTTTATTTGATTCCTTTTCCTATTTAAGTTTGTTTTCTGGCTGACCTGATGTTCCCCTTGGGCTTTTCCTGTTTTTTGGGGACACAACTGCCTTCATGAAATTCCCTTTCCACAGCACCATTGTGCCTACTGTCCCTGTCGTATTGTCCCCATTTATTCGTACCTATTTCCTGTATTCATACTCATGATTATTCTTATCTTGTAATTGATTGACATATCAAATAAATAAAATAAACAAACAAATAAATCCATCCATCCATCTCTATGGTCACAAGATCAAAATCTGGATGCTTGGCAACTGTTTCATATTTATGACCGCTGCAATGTCCTAGGATTACGCGATCCCCTTTTGTGACCTTCTTGCCAAACTGAGTCAGTGGGAAAGCCAGATTCACTTCACGACCGGGTTACTAAATTAATAACCACAGCGATTCACTTAACACCTGTGGTAAGAAAGGCAGTAAAAAAAGGAGCAGAAATTTTGGGCTCGATTGTGGTCGTATTTTGAAGATTACTTGTATTAAGATGAAAGTTCCAAAGGTGCTTTTTCAGGAGGCAACTGGACTTTCTTGTTTGTTTGTTTTTCTTTTGAAGATGTTTCACTTCTCATCCAAGAAGCTTCTTCAGTTCTGACTGGATGGTGGGGAATGAAAGGATTTATATTCCTTGCAGACAGCTGGTCATTTGCATCCTTTTTAGAGGGTCCTCGAATCATTTGGAGGTTTATTTGTGTCCTCAGGGTGCGGGATTCTCAGGATGACTGATAATCTCTATAGAACTTTTAGCTAAACAATTTGGGATGAGCACCCTTTTAATGTTGTGCGAGTTTTCTGGGATTTCCAGAGTAAAAAACTGCAGAGTACAGGAACCCGGAGCACTACTCATGTGACCCTGAGGGACACAGTCAAACCTCCAAGTGCTTCAACCACCTCTAAAAGGATGCAAATGACCAGCTGTCTGCAAGGAATATAAAGCCTTCCATGCCCCACTATCCTGTTAGAGCTGAAGAAGCTTCATGGATGAGAAGCGAAACGTCTTCAAAAGAAAAAAAAAATAGAAAATCCAGTTGCTTCCTGAAAAAGCACCTTTGGGACAACCATGACCTGGGATGACTGAGAATCTCTACAGACATTAAAGCGAAAGTCAATTTTAAAGAACTGCTCTTGAAAATGGAAATGTGAGCTATTCGGAGATATTAAGAGCCTCAGTGGCACATGGTTACAGTGCAGGACTGCAGGCTACTTCTCCAGACTGCTGGCTGCCTGCAATTTGGCAGTTCAATTCTCACCAGGCTCAAGGTTGACTCAGCATTTCAACCTTCCCGGCATGAGGACCTAGATGAGGACCTAGATTGTTGGGGCCAATAGGATGACTCTGTAAACCACTTAAATAGGGCTGTAAAGCACTGTGAAGCTGTATTAAGTGCTATTGCTAATAATTTGACCTAATGTCCAACAGTTGTTCAACCATACAATTGTGCATCCTTTCCCAGTTCCTTGTGCTGGGACAACCTGTTCCTGCATTGTTCCTGATGTGTGCTGAGTTTCATATGCATCTTTCCTGACCCACACTGGATTCTCTTGCATACCTTCTTGCACTTTCTCTGACCCACAGTATTCCCTCTCACTTTGGTTGTGAAAAGCCATCAAGAAGTTTCCTCATCTAACAACCATGGGATTCGTTTAACAACACTGACTGGGATTGCCCCCCTAAGCAATGCAAATATACTTCATGACCATGTCACTTAGCAATGGAAATTCCTGTTCCAGTTGCCATTGCAAGTTGAGAACAACTTAATGAATGAAATTAATACCTGAAGGCAAAATGAGGACCCAGATTGTTGCGGGGACGACGACGATAGGCTAACTCTGTAAACCGCTTAGAGAGGGCTGCGCCGTTGTCTTTTTTGCAAGCATAGGTCAGGGAGCCATGCGAGCACGCTGCAAAAATTTGCCCCCAATCCGATCACCAACCCACGGACGCCAAGAACGAACGACACTACCAGCGCTATTTTAAACACCTGTGCAATTCCCCCCCCCCTTTTTTTTAAGAAAGGCGGAAAGGGGCGGAGCCGCGCGAGCGCGGAACATTCCGCAACCGCGCTGGAGTAAGCTAGGAAAGGTCTGCGCATGCGCACTCCAGTGTGTGTGTGGTGTCCGTCCAGGTCAGAGAAACCAGCAGCAACAGTTATCGCCGTCGAAGCAGCGTGGTCGCTTCTTGGCTTTTCTTCCTGCCTGGAAGGTCGCCATGTGGGGCTTGTGGCTGGCTCGGGCGGGCCTTCCCCGGTGAGCACAGGGGCAGGAGGGGCAGCTGGCGGGAGGGCGAAGCCTGGCTTCTTGGTGGGAAATCGCTTTCATCCATGCAAGGGGGGGCTCTTAAGACTGTCCTTCCCACCCGTTGCTCTGCTTCCCACTTGGAAATGCCCTTTTTCGAAAGCACCGTCCTGGAAGGGCTGGTGCTTTAGAAACCTCTCTTAAGTAGGGTGCGGGAAAGGAAAGAGGATTCTGAGCATGTGCAAAGTGCTTTCTGTGCCGACCTGACAAAATTCCTAAGCATGCTGCTTGGTCCTGGGTGCGTGCGGACAATAGCCTCTCTCTTTTTTATTGTTCCCGTAGGTATGCTAAAGAGCCTGAATTATAAAAGAAAAGTAAAGGGAACTTAGTTGGAAAACCGAGTTTATAGGAGCTACTTTGTATCTTTTGACTTACATTGTTCTTAGGCCTTGAAGCATTGGCCATTCAGACGAACTGGCAGGGCGGGCTAGCGAAATGGACAATGATTTATCCTCGCTCCAAGTCAAATAATAGCCCCCTCGCAGGCCTCGCTTATCTTTAAGAAATCAGGATCGGACTTTGGCTGTAGTTTTCCTTATCTTTCCTGTTTTTTTTCCGTTTTCTTTTTTTGAGGGCCTTCTGATGGCCTCTTAAAACAAGGGTCTTCAAACTTGGCAAGTTTAATATTTGTGGACTTCAATTCCCAGAATTCCTGAGCTAATATGACTGGAGGAGGAATTCTGGGAGTTGAAGTCCACAAGTCTTAAACTTGCCAAGTTTGAAGACCCCTGTCTTAAAATAATTTGTAACAATAAAAAGGTTCAGTAGCAACATGGAAATATACATAGGTAGAATAATGCTCTTAGTTTTAGGGGATTACATCAAGGCAATGTTTACTTTCTTTTCTTTCTTGAGGACGGTGAAATGACTTGCTTTTCATTTTCCTTGATTTGTTTTGAATTGACTTTAACATCCCAATGTTTACCTTGCAGTTAGCCCCAGGATTATCTAATGAATTCTGGGGCCAAACAGCTTTTGAAAATAGATCCTGCTGTGGTCCAACTCCAGCTCTACTCTTTTCTCTTGACAAAGCACAATACTGCCCTTATTATATCTCATACAACTTCACTCCCAAAATAGTATTTCTCAAACATGGTGACTTTAAGACTTACAAGACTTCAATTCCCAGAATTCCCCAGCCAGGGTGGGGAATTCTGGGGATCGAATAAATTTGTCAGGGTTAAGAAATACTGTCCTTAAAAACTGATTTTTGGTCATTCCTCTTTATTTTTTTTAAGCTCACATCATTCTGTATTGTTTGGGCCAAGACTGTGGCGATGGACAAGCGGTTCTGCAAATGAAAGAGCACTGCAATTCAAAAGTGGGGATAAAATCCATGGATTCACTGTAAACCAGGTAAAAGGTTTTGTTTCCAAGTCACCTTTTGAATTGAATTCAGGATTCTGGCTACTTTAAGCTTTTCAGACGTCATTTCCACGAAAGTTGGCTAGCTCAGAAGTTAACTCAGATTTCAGTCTTCTTGTGAGGTCTCTTAATTTAGAATATACCCAGTTAGAGTTTGCTAAGGTCTGTTGGAGCCCTTGATGGGGGATGCCGATAAAAACTGGACATTGGAAAGAATGCCTTGCACATCTCTGGGTTTGCATGGTGCAAAAAACAGAGGACAAATGGTGTGGGCTAGGAGCCAAGGGTCAGAACTAACTGCATGAAAATTCACTGACCTGTCATACTTTTGTAGCAGGCATCCCTTGCAGAAATACAATTTAAGAGAATTTCCATATAAACTGCCTTAAACTCTGAATCAAATCTAGGAAACTAACAAATGCAGGTAGTCCTTGTTTAGTGACTGCCAAATTGATAGATATTCCCAGTTATGACTCAACCCTGACACCAGTCCTCCTATTGGCAAACTTTGCAAGTGTATAAAGTGACAAGATGATAGATGCACAATTGTGTTTTTTTTCCCCAGCAACTCCTTTGCCTAATGACAGAGTTGCCAGTCTCAATTGTGGTCGCTTAATGAGGATTACCTGTAAATGTAGAATAGTACGGTGGAAAGGAATTTTCTTGAGAAAGCTCAGGAAGCTTCTGAAAAATGGCCATCCTGATGTGCTACTTCTGTTCCAATTTTAGGTACACAGCTGCCTTGAAGCTGGTTGGGCAAGCATGACTGTCTTTCTAGCTGAGCCTTCTGGACAATGTGGTTGGGCATAGTTTGTGACCTCGATGCTCTGCAGAACCGCTGGTGGCTTAATTTGTATTAATTCGCAGGGATGTGTGTGTTCTTTATTCAGGTGACAGTAGTTCCTGAATTTTCCTTGACGGCTGTTAAACTCAACCATGACAAGACAGGAGCCCAGTATTTACATGTGGCACGAGAAGACTCCAACAACTTGTTCAGGTCAAGAATGCTGAATGATGGAATTTTTTGTGGGTCATCTGGCTTTTGAAGCCAGGCATCATAGCTGTCTGGTATTAAAATGTCTGGTATTTTTGTTGTTCACCTTTGGTTCAGAAGTGTTAAGTTACAGCATCAAAGCTTTGAATTTAATGGGGCCTGAGAGTAGTTCTTGTTTTCTGTCAGAAATCATGACTTCCACTTCCACTCGGTTTGAGAAGTTGACGGGCACATTGCTTCTCAAAAGTGTGGATTGGGAGACAGTTCACACAAAAAGTGTGAACCTTTTTCTTTATGCCACTGACAGCGGGTATAGGGGATCCTCGGTTTATGATAACAATTGAGCCCAGAATTTACATTGCTAAGGGGAGAAATTGGCTAAGTGACTGTTGCCCCATTTTGTTAAATGAATCACTGCCGTTGTTAAATCAGTGGCATGGTTAAGTGAATCTAGCTTATTCAGAAGGTCACAAAGGATGATCACATGACCTGCAACCGCTGTAAATTTAAACTGGTTGTCAAGCATCCAGATGTAAATCATGTGACCATAGGGATGCTTCAACAGTCATAAATGTGAAAAATGGTCATAAGTCACTTTACTGTTTCCTGTAAAGTAATTAAAATATTATACAAGCCATCATTGAGAGTATAAAATACAACAGGAACAGGAAATGCATCACAGAAACAATAGAGGTGAATCCTAGAGAACAAGAAACAACTACCCTAGAGAGGAATGATAAAGCTGCATGTTAGGTAGACCTGTAACATTACCGTTGTAACTTAGAATGGTCACTAAATGAACTATAAGTCGAGGGCTACCTGTTATTATGCTGTTTGTTTATTTATTAAATTAATATGCTGCTCATTTTACTATTGAGTGACTTTGAGTGGCATAGTGCACCATAAAAACAAATATGATAACTTGAAAATGTGGAAAACATTAACAAAGTTGGGCAAAACTAGAAAATTGATATACGGGGCAGGAGAAGGCATTATAAGAGTATTATACAGTTGTGCTTTATTTGCTTTGCTATTTGTAAGCTTCATTGAAAAAAAAAGGTATCTACCTAACAAGAAAAATTAAAACACAAATGTTTCCCTGTTCGTTATATAGTGTTCAGTTCCGGACGACTCCCATGGACAGTACTGGTGTCCCCCACATCCTTGAACATACTGTACTGTGTGGGTCAGAGAGGTATCCTGTCAGGGATCCCTTCTTTAAAATGCTGAATCGGTCGCTCTCTACCTTCATGAATGCGTTTACAGGTGAGGAAATGGGAACTGACAGCTTTGTGAATTTCCTGCTGTGCATGTGGCAGCTTACTTGTACAGCGAAATCTGCAGCTTCGGCTGCTTTCTTTCTAAGGTGAATTCTGAGTCTTGAGTGGTCAACAAGACAGTTATCCCCAACAGGATTTCTGAGACCCCCCCCCCCAAAAAAAAACAACCCTGGCAGAATAAAGAAAAGCCTAGCATGCCAAGTAGTCAACAAACATGTAGCGACAATTGGAAATATCAACATTTGTATGGTGGAGAGAAGGAGAGCAAACAGTGCTGATTGCAAATGACAGCTTGCTAAGACCTTACAGAATAACAGGTGCATTGAAAGGGACTTGGAGGTCTTCTACTCCAGCTCCCCACTTGACCAGCTTGGCTATACCATTTCAGACAAACAGCTGTTCAGTCTGCTCTTGAAAACCTCAAGCGATGGAGTACCCACAACTTCTGGAAGTTGTTTCACAGATTAATTGTTCTAACTGTCAGGAAATTTCTCCTTAGTCTTAGGTTGCTTCTCTCCTTGATCAGTTTCCATCCATTGCTTCTTGTCCTGACCTCAGCTGCTTTGGAGAATAGCTCGATCCCCTCTTCTCTGCAGCAGCCCCTCAAATATTGAAAGACTACTATCATGTCACCCTAGTCCCTCTCTTTATTAGACAAGACATTCCCAATTCTTGACTACCCGTCCTTGAGTGGGAAAACTTTTTAGGAGGAAGTGAAGTGTTCACACTTTTTGTGCCAGTTAGTCATGCACGGTCTTTCTTTCTTGTAGGGTACCATTTTTCTATCCCCATTCCTGATTATCTAATGGCATTTTATGACATGGTGAGCTGTGATTTCAGGTTTATATCCTGTAGTTCTCCAATCAACGTTGAATTTGATCCCCAGCAGCCCAAGGGCAACGTGAATGCAGCTGAGGGATGCTGAATGCTCATACTATCCCCCCTTCTTGCAGTTTTTATGTCTTTTTTTCCCCCTTGCATTTTGTACAGGTAGTCTTCAACTTACGGCCATAATTGAGCCCCCCCAAAAGTATGTTGCTAAGTGAGGCATTTATTAAGTGAGTTTTGCCCCATTTTATGACTTTTCTTGCCATAATTGCTATTCATTGCAGTTGTTAATAACCAGGTTGCTAAGTCAATCTGGCTTCCACATTGACTTTGCTTGTCAGAAGGTTGCAATCACACAACCTTGGGACGTTGTGACTATGTCATTGTGAATATGAACCGGTTGCCAAGCATCCGATTTTTTTTTTACAAAATGTTTTTTATTTTTATCTTTTACAAACATCTCTTTTAGTGAACGGTGTGATTCCAAGTTTTTACACTTCTATATAAACATGACTATAATTACATATCTATCTCACATATTCAGATTCTTATCGTATCATTACATTTTTCATTTTCTATAAATTTTCAAAAATATTCTTACATTTTTCACATTTATTTTATCCACTTTTAATTCATATCTTGATTTATTCTGTTTTTCTTTAATTATATTCTTATCTTCTTTATATAATATCTTAAAATTCTTATTTCTTAATCTATATTCATTGTATTTTTATACTTTTATCTGTCATATTTGCAATTTCATCACATATTCTTACTTCATTATTCAATAAATTCCATCTTAGTGTTAATAATTCCAAATGTTTCCCCCTTAACTACCCGTTTGAGTAACCACCTTTTTGTCTTGTACATCATTCAATTTACTCCCCTTTAACTCATATTTAAAAATTACCATCATGTAAGCATTTTTAGTTATTACCTAAATACTACATATCACATATACATTTTAGGTTAGATTCCACACGGTATTCTTTATTCAGCATCCGAATTTTGATCACATGATCAAGGGGATCCTGTGTGAAAAACGATCATAAGCCACTTTTTTCTATGCTGTTGTAACTTTGAATGGTTACTAAATGAACTGTTGTAAAGCGAAGACTACCTGTACTTGAAGTTTTCTTAAATTTTCCATAAAATGGGGTTCCTAAGAAATGGCACACGTTATCAAAACATCAGAAATCACACAAATAACACTGGAATTAATGAACAGTTTAAAAAATGCCATCAAAGATTATTTTTATACATGATTACTGCTATAAGACAATTATGTGTGTGTTCACATGTTTCACCTCTCCTGTGGGAGCTGCATTGGTTGCCGATTTGCTTCCGGGTGCAATTCAAAGTGCTGGTTGTCCCCTTTAAAGCCCTTCATGGGTTGGGGCCAGGTTATCTGAGGGAACATCTCTTGCCAGTCACATCTACCCGACCCATTAGATTGAGGAGGCAGGGATTGTTGCGGGTCCCATCCCTGAGGGAGATACACCTGGTGGGACCCAGAAGAAGGGCCTTCTTTGTGGTGGCTCCCTCTCTGGAACATCATTCCCCCAGAGATTAGAATGGCCCCCTCTCTAATACTCTTCCGGAAGGCACTGAAGACCTGGTTCTGCCAATGGGCCTGGGGAACCCAGAGCAGGATGGAGCCCATCAAAGGGCTCATGTGATTTGCTGTCATCGGGGCGGGGGATGGAAGTTGGAATGATATTTTTTATTTGTTCCAGATTTGGTTTATTGTACCTTAATAATTTATTTGATTCTTTTTGTTAGTTTTTATTGTTTTTTTTATTTTAAATATGGTTTTACATTCTGTGAGCCGCCTCAAGTTGCCATGGGCGAATAGGCGGCAATATAAATTCAATAAATAAATTATGCACAAAGATATTATTAACATCATTTAATTCTTACAATTTTAATTGTTATATATTCATAAATAAATCTTATTTATTTGTATTATCTTGCAAACCGCCCAGATTCCATTTCGTTAGTGAGGTGGGCAGCACATTAATATAGGAAAATATAGGAAAAACTTTGAAATACTCTTAGTGGAGGATAGGCTGGTGAAGATGATAAACTAGCAGACATGGGAAAATTAACTTGTGTGATTAAAGAACGATCAATAATTACATTTACTGAAACTCCAAAAAACTGAAAATCCTTATGGAGTTTTTGCTGAAAAAAGAAAAAAAATGAGCTTGTGATTTATGGGTTTGAGTATTAGAAAAGTAGCTTATAGAAAGAAAGAATTATGATGTAACTGTGGAGGGAGAGAGTAAAATATAAATACATTTATAATTGCTGTTGAAAATATCAGAAGCCATGGCTTTATAATCTTTTTCTTCTTTTCTTTTTCTACTTTTCCTATTTAGTTTCTTTTCTAATATTTGTAGCATCTTTCTCTGGGTAAAAATTCCTTCAATAAAAATAACATGATAGAGGGCTCAGTTTGAAAAAGAGATGAAGATTGCAAATCATTCATCACCCTAAATGAGCTGTAAAACTCATGGACTTAATTTTGAACCATTTTCATTTTTAAACTTTTGTCATCTTCTTTTGCAGCTAGTGATTACACCCTCTATCCGTTTTCTACCCAAAATCCCAAAGACTTCCAGAACCTTCTCTCTGTCTACCTGGATGCTGTGTTCTTCCCTTCTTTGAGGCTTCTGGATTTCTGGTAAGAATGTGTGATCGGACAGAACGGACAGAACCATGATGTATCATCCAGAATAAATCTTAGCTCACGTTTTATGTTTTTCAAATTTGTCTAGGCAGGAAGGCTGGAGATTGGAACACGAAAGCCCAGCAGATCCTCAGTCGCCATTAACCTTCAAAGGAGTTGTGTTTAATGAAATGAAAGGAGCTTTTGTAAGCCCTGTTTTATTTTGGCTTAATTGAGAATTTCTGGGGAGCTGCTGTAAAATAGTTCTGTATGAGTGGTGACCAAGTTAGGTTCAGGTGAGGGGTTGATAAGATCGTGTTTTTGAGGAATTGTTATAACGGGTGGGGTGGCTCAGTGGCTAAGACGCTGAGCTTGTCGATAAGAAAGGTTGGCTGTTCGAATCCCTAGCACCGAGTAATGGAGTGAACTCCTGTTACTTGTCCCAGCTCCTGCCAACCCAGCAGTTCGAAAGCATGTAAAAATGCAAGTAGAAAAATAGGGACCACTTTAGTGGGAAGGTAACAGCGTTCCATGCATGCCAGCATTTGGTCATGCCAGCCACATGACCATGGAGATGTCTTTGAACAGTGCCGCTTCTTTGACTTTGTAATGGAGATGAGCACCACCCCCTAGAGTGACTAGCACATATATGCAAGGGGAATCTTTACCTATGAGGCTTAAAACTCACTGACATGGTAAAGGTTGCAGGATTCAAAAGATCTTGCACTGGTTAACATATCTTTTATAAATGGCTTGGTTGGATGAATTGGTTTTCACTCAGCAAGGTGGTTCTTAAGACTCCCTTTCTTTGGGAGGTTCAGACATGTCCTGTGTTCATACTTAGTACCAAACCATGACTTGTTTTAACTATGGTTCGTCAATAGCAATAGCACTTAGACTTATATACCACTTCACAATACTTTACAGCCCTCTAAGCTGTTTACAAAGTCAGCATATTGCAACCCCCAACAATCTGAGTCCTGATTTTACCAACCTCAGAAGGATGAGTGAACTTTGAGCCTGGTGAAATTTGAACTGCCAAATTGCAGGCAACCAGCAGTCAGCAGAAGTAGCCTGCAGTACTGCATTCTAACTACTACGCTACCATGGTGCAAACAGGTTTATACATGATACTGAGTCCAAATCAAATATAGGTAGTCCTTGACTTAACTTTCATGACTGAGCCCAAAATTTATGTTACTAAGTGAGACAGCCAAGTGAATTTTGCCCCATTTTAGTACCTTTTTTTTTTTTTTGCACAGTTATTAAGTGAATCTTTGCGGTTGTTAGATTAGTAACACCGTTGTTGAGTAAATCTGGGTTCCCCATTGACTTTGCTCGTCAGATGATTGCAAAAGAAAATCACAGGACTCCACGACATTGCAGTTGTCATAAAGACGACCATGGGGATGTTGCAGTGCAGTGGTTGCAAGTGTGGAAAATGGTCATGTCACTTTTTTCGGTGCTATTGTAACTTCAAACTGTCATTGTGACTTAGCACTCTGCATGAACTCATCCCGTTAGTACTTACTGTTGTATGTGAATCAGGCTCCTGTCACTTCATCTACAGGTCATGATTAAAATTATGGCATTTGTGAACTCGGCTTCAGTGTTGTGGATGGCAAGCACAGTTTACTTGGCCATTTGGGTTAGGGTTAGGGTCTTGTCTTTCCTAGTTTAACTTCTCTTACTTTCAAATAAGAAGCTTGGTATAGGTCAAAGATCTACAGACAAATAATGCTTTGCCACATATTATGCCACAGTTGCAATTCGCACGCCAAAAGGAAACCACAATTTCAGACTGGTGCATTCACACATAACACTAAAGCAGAAATGGACATGCTTTTTTTATAATTTAATATTTTTTTAACTACTCAGAAAACGGAGGTTTTTCAGACACATTTCAAAGAATGACTTTCAGATTCTAATGTGGGTGAGAATCAAAGCTGTGGTTGGCATTATGCCAACCTATGATTGACTTTTCCAACCGTGGTTTGGCTCAGTTAAACCATCGTGTGAATTGGCTTTTACTGTTCCAACTTCAAATTCCTATCCCATAGGAGTTGTATTGTAGTTGTCTTGTTAACAAAGGCAAAGACATCAATTCCACAAATGTTAGACCTCTCGATAACTCGAGCTAGCCAATGCTGAGGGATGCTAGAACAATATGAACAATGCAGTAGAATAAAATCTTGCATATGCGAGATGTGAAGTGAGTTTTGTCCCATTTTACAATCTTCCTCACCACAATTGTTAAGCGAATCTCTGCAGTTGTTAAATTAGTAACACCCTTGTTGAGTAAATCTGGCTTCCCCATTGACCTTGGTTGTCAGAGGTCACAAAATGGGATCACATGACCTTGTGACACTGCAACCGTCACTTGCCAAGTGACTGAATTTTGGTCATGTGAACATGATGGTGCTGCAACGGTCATAAGTATGAAAGATGGTCATGTCACTTTTTTCAGTGCCATTGTAAGTTCGAACAGTCGCTAAGCTCTTAAGTCAAGGACTATCTGTATCTTTGCACCTCTACAGATAATCAGGTACTAATCCCAGAGATGTTCTGATATTGGGTAGCGTTTGACCATAGATAATCTGTTCATTTATTCTTCTTCAATAAAATATTTATTTTAAGGCAGATAATGAGAGAGTTTTCTCTCAGCACCTTCAAAACAAGATTCTTCCTGATCACACATACGCCGTTGTGTCTGGTGGTGATCCATTGAAGATCCCTGATCTCTCCTGGGAACAACTGAAACAATTCCATGCTACTCATTACCATCCCAGCAATGCAAGGTATCAGAAGGAAAGAGGAAAGGAAGAGAAAATTGGAGCATTAATAATAATTAGTTGCTTGGTCATTCAGCTAATGACAGAACTCAAGATAGCAATATAGCTTTGATTTCTGTATTCTGCTACCCAAATAATATTTTGGATCTGCTGGTTTGCCCGATCCTATTTCTCTAAATTAAGCCAGGAAGTCTCTTAGTAATCATAGTTAAATCTCTTTGGAACTGGAACACCCACAATCTAGGTCTAGGATATGAAGAAAAGGTTAGGTTTGTTTAAAAATTCTGGCCTGGAAGTTAATAAAACTCTTGTTTAGGAAAATTGTGTTTAATTGAGGCTGATTAATTGCAAGGATGTGGATCACGTGAGTGAGCTATTTGAAGAAATGCCAGTACAGAGACAATAAGTGGCTTTCTTCAAAAAATTTAGCAATTAATTCTGCTTTCTCTCTTGAGACAAAGAGCCACCAAAGCTGAATTCAGTTTTTTACTGTCTCAGGATTGCTCAAACCATCTTTACATGACTTGCTTTTTCAACCTTCTAATGTGTCCATTTCTGCTTTTTTATTATTTCACATTTTCTTCTTTTAACTATGTTGTGATTGTGTTTATAGTCTTTTTGCAAGCTATCCAAAGCCATTAAGGGAGAGGGAAATGTATATTTATTCCCTTTCCAAATGAATAAATAATGAATATGTTGATTTGTATATGAAAAGATGTTTAGTAATGTCTCACCTCTCTCTGTTCTGCATGTACCTGCAGAAAAAAAGCTGCTGTTAGACAGAGGACATAGCAGAATGGTGAACTATAGCTCTTACATCCCTTCAGCAAGACGTGAAGGCCAAGGGTTTCAGTAGTTCCTCTAGACCACTGTTTTAAGATGTGTGAACTTCTACTCCCGGAATTCCTTGCCCCAGCATGCTTGCAAGGGAATCTTGGTACTTGAAGTCCATGCATCTTAAAGTTGCCAAGGTTGACAAACTGCTTTAGAACAATATTTAACATAGTATAGAATAAGCCATCAATTTGGGACACACTATCCTCTATGTGATATCTCGTCTCCTAAGTATATAAATGGGATTTTTTTAGAGCCCCCGCCCTGCCCCGGTCACTAATAATAAATAATTTTATCTTCCACTGTAGGTTCTTCACTTATGGGAACTTCCCACTAGAGCTACATTTGAAACAAATTCATGAAGAAGCTTTGTGTAAATTCCAGAAAATTGAACCCAATACTTCTGTTCCACCCCAGCAAATCTGGGACAAGCCTGTGAGTTTTGATTTCTTTGTTGTATTTGAATGCACCAGGATTTCTGTAGAATTTGTTGACTAGAGGAGAGTTGGCTTCCTTGGTGGTAGATCCAGTCCAGATGCAAAAGACTTAAGGCATTGATTCTATCCTTCGTGTGTAGGCACTATTCTTAAGTTCCATATCTGTAAGTTCAGTTTGAGAAAGATCAAATAGCAAGAGATGGGGAAGATGCTTCCTAAAACCATGAGGAGATGTTGCCAAATCAAAGTGGTTAATAGAGGAATGTGGTCTCCTTATCACCTGTTTGTAGTCTTCAGAACTTTTAGATGCTTCAGTGAAAGAACTCCACCACCATTTTGGGAGGAGGGTGGTAGAAAAAGAAATACAATATAAGTCTTGCTTTACATACTCCAGTGAACCTCTTCACATCTACTTTGTGGTAGAAGAAAGAGTGGGCTTCTACACTTTCTAGCGCCAGTTTTAGGAAAAGCCATTGCTTCATCTTACTTGCTGGAGCCTAGCTTCTCATTCATCATAATCAAGGATCTTCAAACTTGGCAAGTTTAAGACTTGTGGACTTCAGCGGCCAGAATTCTTGAGCTAATATGACTGGAGGAGGACTTCTGGGAGTTGAAGTCCACAAGTCTTTTTTTGCTGTTGTAAGTTTTATTTGAGTTTTCACAAAAAGAAAAGAAATACAAGTAAAACATCTTTTTTGAAAGCAGCATAATCCCAGGTTACATCTCTTTGTACAGACACAAATTCAAGTTCATGCTCATCTTTATATTTAATTCCATATCTTATTACTATTCTACATTTTCTACATAGCTTCTCCCCTCTTTTAACTTTCTTAATTTTATTTTATTTATTTCATCTCAATTCAAATCATTGTACTTATATTCTTTGTCTGTCCTGTTTCAACTGTCTACTATCTTTTCTCATTAAACAAAATTTCTCCTGTAATCAGTGATTGGAGTATGATGCCTTTATATCTTTCCCCTAAAATTATAACACTTAATATAATACATAACTTTCATTCGGATTCTGCTTGGCACATTCTAAAACTACACATTGTATTCTTGAAAAAAGTAAAAAAGATTATACATGTATAATATAATTAAAACAACAATCCGTTCCAATTCAATTCTATCATTAATATTAATATTCATTTAGATCTTAACATTTTGCACATTACTTTTCAAATAAGTATCATACTTCTATGGGAACAATTATAAACTTTCCATAGTTAATTCCGCCCCCTCTTCATTTATATTTTATAAAACATTGACTAATTAAAATGTTCCCGTACCTTCCTAATTCAATTTTCTCATTTATTTTATTTCATTTATTTTATTCACAAACATTTCCCCAAACCACACCAACTACTTTATCCCTCTTTTTAATCATACATTGTTTCCAATTTTCTAAAGTTATTTCTATTACAAATATAATAATACAATCTTATGTACCTTCACAGCATCCTTTTTTCAGTTAGATTTTCACCCATTATCTCTAAATAGGTCCTGTTTCTTTACATCTTGCTCCAAACCTTTAGAACTTCTCTTCCTTTCCTTCTTCCCTCTCTTCTTCTCTCTCCCCTTTTTATCCCCCTGTCTCTCCACCTCCATTTCCCTCTTCTGTATTCCCCTTTTCTGTTGCTTTCCAACATTATATCCACTTTTCAAATTATTTTTTCCTTTTTGGCTGTTCTTTTAGGTCTTAAATTCTCCATTCTCTTTCCCCCCTTTCCCCTTTCTTCCCCATATAGAGTTACTTGTTCATTAAAAATGGCTTCTTCTTTGTCCCAGTCTTGTTTTGCAATCTTTTCTTGTTGTTTCTCATAGTTGGAGATCTCCATTTCTAAGAATTGAAAAACGAAGCCAAAAGAGCCCTTCCCTTCTTGTGCCTCTTCTTTGTATTTTTTAAGTTCCATTTTCAATTCATCCAGAAGTGATGCCATTGTAAAAAAAATTAAACAACCACCCAATTGATTTTAGTCATTCAAATATAATAACCAAAAATCCAAAAGTCACCAGACAGTCCAAATACACACAGCTGTTTCTTTTTACACTTTCTCTTCCTGGGGTTACTATTTAGTTGCAAAATCTCAGTTAAAATGTATCTTTTAGAAGAATTGTTAAAATTTTACTTTAGATTCTTTTGAAGTCCAGGCAGTCTCCTCCCTCCAGATCCTACCCTTATTCTTTTCCTCTCCCTTCCTGCTTATAAAAGAAAAGGGTTTTAATGTCCAGAAATCTTTATTGTCCCTTTGGCATTTAGTTATATTTTCAACTTAATTGCCTATTGATGCCAAAGCGGATTTTTCCGATTTCTTATTCCGGGCTCTTAATTGTCAATGTAAGGAAGGAGAGAGAAGAAAAAAAAAACCTTTCCCTTTTCACTTTCTTTCGCTGCTTCCAACCTTCTTTGGGAGTGATGTTATCTTTTTTAAAATTTAAATTCCAGGGTACCTTGATTGTTGTTTTTTCAGCTTAACCCGGTCAGCCAAAACTTTCACTTCTTATCTTCCTCCTGCACTTTCTTTTCCGCTTGAGTTCTTCTTTGAGGCGGCCATTTCTGACCGCTGCTCCTACTGCCTTCGGGAAAGAGAGTTTGGCCAGCTGAGGAGGAGAGATGCGGCTCTCCTCGACCCTGCTGGCAGTCTCCCCCTTCTTCACCACCTCTACAGGGTGGCTTAGCCCTGAAGCCAGCTGGCTCGGGGTGCTCCAGCGGCGAGCCCAGGCAGAAACCGTGCACAATCGTGGATTCCTGTCTGTCACCGAAGCCCTTCAAACCACAAGTCTTAAAGCTATCAAGTTTGAAGACCCCTGATCATAATACTAGCTCCATACCCATGCTTCGCTACAAAACTATGAGGTTGGGCTTAGTTTTGGGGAGGAAAATAAGTGTGTGTGTGGGGGGGGGGGAATCTACCTCTGCCTAGTAAAATCCATCAGTATTCATCTGGCTAGCGTCTTGTCAGTATGTGAAAGAGTTGAGGGCTGTTTGGAAAGTGAAACAGTATTTGCTGTGTAGCAAGAAGGAGACAGCAAGGAGCCTGGGTGTGGCTTAGCTCAACCGTTCTGTACTAAAGCTGATTGCTGCTGTGAAACTGAAACTCCTCTCCTCTGCTTATGTTTTGCATTTGGAATAGATTTCTTTCCAGGTGGGGAGGGGGTGTAGAACTCCTTAGCATCAGAGCGTGTTAATAATAATATAGGAAATACTAATGCTCTGATGGTCATTTCAAACAATTCTTTCTTAGTGAGCACCTAGAAGCCAAGAGGAACACACGTGCCAAATTTCAAGTTTGTAGGTTTTAGAGTTCTGGAGATTTTGTGATGAAGTGGTATTTCACTTTTAGGTAGCTAGGTAGGTAGGTAGGTAGGTGGATGGATGGATGGATAGATATGTCAGGATTCCAGCAATCGCTCTAATTAAATCATGATTCTTGAGCCAAATTTCAATAAATTTCAAAGGATTCATTAGAGGCAACATACTGGCACTTCCCTGTATGAAGCCAACTTTGCATAAGTAATTTACATTCCCCTGTGACCCTATTTCCCCACTCCCCCCTGGGTGTCTCATTAACCAGATTCTCCAATTGAGCATGTTTACAGTTGGATGTCATCATTCACGTTCTCCAATTAAATATATTGGTGGGCAAAAAACTGGTATTTTAGTTACAATCTTTTAAAGATAAGAGTTGGAATGTATTTTCGCTCCCCCCCCTTTTTTTTATGGCAACTACTAAAACAAGCATAGGAATGTTTTATGAGTTGACATTAGATATATAGATTAAGTGGAGACTTTGCTGATAAAGAATTTTAGAGCTTGGGTGCCATCACAGAGAACCCTACTCCTCTGGGTTTGTCCATCTTAACCTACAGGAAAAATATGGCAGTTGCAATTCAGGAATCATAAAGACCTGACTGCCTGGAATCAGAAATTGGAAGGGGCCTGGGAGCCTTTTATAGTAATGCAGGAATCCTTGTACCATTCTGGACAAATGGCAGTCCAATCTTTTCTTGAAAACCTTCAACGATGGAGCTCCCATAATTTCAGGAGCCAGGCTGTTCCATTGCTTTAATAGTTGTACAATCAGGAAATTCTTCCTTATTTCAAATTGGATCTCTCAAAGCAAAGCTTCTGCCCTTACATTCTGAAGTGAATAAATCCATTCCCTTTTCTTCTGTCATGTTTTCTCTTAGCCTTCTCTTCTTTAAGCTCCTTCAAGCACCCTTCATAGGATTTAGCATTCAAGCCCTTTACCCTCTTAGTTGCTTTTCTGCTGGACTCTTTCCAGTTCCTCAGCATTACCTAGCTCTAATGGACTAAAGGCTAGTACCAGATAGGATCATTTCCTTACTTTGTTATTTGAAGTGCCTTTTGACCAGCCCAGGAGCATACAGTTAGTCCTCGAGTTAACAACCACAACGGACCCTGCCCATTAGGTTACAAGTCATAGCAGTCATAAAGCAGGTTGGTCAAGATTTTACATTCTTTTGCATAATTGTGAACTTCACAGTTATTAAGTGAACCCATTGTTTGCTAATAGCACAGTTTCACAAAAAAATGGAAGTTAAGTGTCGGGTTTCAGCAAACTAATCATAAAATACTTGGGATAAAGACAGTGTCCTATTTGCTAGTCATTTTCTTGTTTGTTTGTTTGTTTTGCAGAGGGAACACCATGTGACATGTGCCGTAGATTCATTAGCTACTGACTCTAAGAAGCAGACAATAGTCAGCGTCAGCTACCTCCTAGCAAAGTACGTAACTGGGAATAGCAGAGTTATTCATCTAATCAGAATCATACTCTTCAGTTCAGCTCGAAATTCCATTCAACATTTTCTGCTATGAAGGAACTTGGAAATTAATGGTGCTAATGGTTAGGGGTTATCTTCCTGCCTTTAACTGTATATCCTAACTTTATCCTAACTGAGATGTGATGATGCATTGGTTAGAATGCAGCATTGCAGGCTACTTATTTAACAGATTAACAGAGTTGGAAGGGACCTTGTAGGTCATCTAGTCCAACCTCTAGTCCATTTTACCTTTCCTGCCACAGTTTGGAACAGTAGCATCCTAATAGCCAACAGCATGAAGTCCCTACACCATAGGGGTTTAGATATCTATAAAGAGGAGAGCTAAAATCTGACCCTAAAATCTGGGACACTGATTCTTAATTCCTTTTACCCCCATTGCGTGTTGGGATCTTCTCAGGATGAGCACATTGAATAGATCAGTTATGCCTTGTCTGGCACCCGAAGACCAGACAGGGAACAATGGGTGGAAATTGATTGAGGAGAGCTTCAACCTAGAAATAAGGAGAAATTTTCTGACAGTGAGAACAATCAACTAGTGGAACAGCTTGCCTTCAGGAGTTGCGGGTGCTCTGGAGGCTTTTAAAAAGAGACTGGACAGCCACTTTTCAGAAATAGTATTGGGTCTCTTGCTTGAGCAAGGGGTTGGACTAGATGACCTACAAGATCCCTTCCAACTCTGTTATTTGTATTCTGTATAGTCTAGAGAAAGTCCTGTAAGTACCCAGGTGCCAAGCCATGTGGGGTTTTACAGGTTAAAATCAGAACCTTGAATTTGACCTAGGAGTCCAATGCACCAGGTTCAGCAAAACAGTAACACTATTAAACCTGTTTTCTGTCATTAACTAAGCCACACCATTTCGAATATTGGGAGGAATATGAAATGTGTTTGTTCTTCAGGAAGATAGCTGGGACTTTTCTAAAACTTCTGTAGCAAGAAATGATGGTGCTGCTACCTACAGAGTAGTCCTTGATGTAAGACCAGAATAGCAACCAAAATTTCCATTGCTAAGTAAGGCAATTGTTAAGGGAGCTTTGTTTCCATTTTATAACCTTTTTTTGCTGAAGTTGTTAAGTGAATCACTACAGTTAAGTGAAATATGCAGTAATTAAGAGTATCTGGCTTTTCCCACTGATTCCACTTGTTGAGAGCCAGCTGGGAAGATTACAAACAATGTTCGCATGACCTCAGGACAGTGCAACGGTCATAAATACATGCCAGTTGCCAAGCACTGAATTTTGATCACGTGACTATGGGGAGGGGGCTACAATAGGCATGTGAGAACCAGTCATAAGTTACTTTTTTCAGTTCTGTTGCAACTTTAAACAGATGGTTGTAAGTCGAGAACTGCCTGTATTGAATCCTACAGTGTTCAGTTTTTTTTCTTTTATGTTTAGTATTACAGATAACTTTGAAACCTTCATGTTGAACTTTTTGTCTTCTCTATTGGTTGGTGGCCCAAATTCTCCGTTTTATAAAGCTTTGATCGAAGCTGGCCTTGGAACAGATTTTTCACCAGATGTTGGGTAAGTATGTGGCTCTTTCTAGGTGTAACTGAAATTTAGTTTGATTTCTTAGATGGGGTGATTAGAAAAGGGGCTAATTAAGCTTTGGGTAAGTGAAATATACATGGGATTTTGTGTGGAAGTTCAGAAGAATTAAAATAGCAACAGCTCTTAGACTTATATACCACCCCATAGTGCTTTATAACCCTTTCTGAGCGGGTTATAAATGTCAGCATATTGCTTCCAACAATCTGGGCCCTCATTTTACTGACCTTAGAAGGCTAGAATACTGAATCAACCTTGAGCTCGTCAGGATCGAACTGCTGGTGGTGGACAGAGTTAGCCTGCAATACCACATTCTAACCACTGCACCACCACAGAATAAGAACATAGGTGAATGTAATCTTGTATATAAAATTTCCCTTTAAGACTTCAGCTCTTGCATACCTTCTTGCACTGCATTGAATTAGGAGCCCAAAGGAATATGTCTGCTGAAATGTGATTTAACTTTGATTAAGGTTGTTCCCAGAAAACTAACTTTTGTTCTTCCCAAAGCACAGCTGCCAACTGATCCATATTTGTTATTTAGCCATATTTGTTGTATAGGTCTTAGGAGCTTGGCTCATACCTGACATTAAACCATATTAGTGGGTTCCATATTTGTACTAAGCCACAGATGGGTTTATTGCAAACTGTGAAATGGGTTCCCAGTGTTTAAATACGAATTTAACCACGCTGCCTTAAGAAAGTTCAAAACATTCTCAAAGATCCATCTCATCCTGGGAACCCGTTTTCAGAACTATTACCATCTGGCAGATGGTACAGAATAATAAAAATAAGGACAAATAGGCTGAAAAACAGCTTCTATCCCAGGGCAGTAGCTCTTTTGAATTCTGCTGTATAGTGCAGTATTGGTGCGGTGTCGGGGGTTTCCGGTTCAATGTGTGGAGTGTGAAGGAAGTGTGTTTGTGTTTATTTTCATGGTCATGATGTGCACTGAAGATGGTGTTTGATTTTGTTGTATGAGGTGCATTCACAATAAAGTAAACTAAACTAAAACTAAATGAATATTTTTGTATTATATCTCTGTTTTTAGGATTAACTCCTCTACACGAGAAGCTTATTTCACTGTAGGCCTTCAAGGGATTTCCGAAGAAAGCATAGACACCATAAAGCAAATTATTGCTAAAACTATTGATGAAGTTATTGAGTAAGGACAAGGATTTTTTTTAAAAAAAAAATGTTGCGCTATTGTAAAAAAAAATAGTTAAGATGCTACTTTAAACTTTTGACAGTGATGATGGTTCATACATTCTGTGCTGGTAAAAGAAAGCTCTAAATTATACTGCTTTTCTCAAGTGTTTTAAAAGAAGGTTTGAGATAATTTTGCTATTTACGAATCTCCTCATAAAAAGAGGCAAAAGGAATATCTAAACTTTGACAGCTAAAAATGGTCTTTGAAAGTAAAAAAAAAAGAGAATGAATGCTGAGCTGGAGAAATGCAGATTTTTTATGGCTAAAATTTAATGATAGGTAGTTCTCCACTTATGATGACAGTTGAGCCGAAAATATCTATTGCTAAGCAAAACAGTTAAGACAATTTTGTCTCATGTTGGTAACATGACAAGTGAATCTGGCTTCCTCATTAACTTCTCTTGTCAGAAGGTTGCAAAAGGGATTCTGCAACCATCATAACTACATGCCAGTTGCCAAGCGTCTGATTTTTGATCACATATATGCAGAGATGTTGCAATGTTCTTAGTACGAAAATGGTCATAAGTTACTTTTTTCAGGGCTGTTGTAATTTCAAATGGTCACTAAATGAATTGTTTAAGTTGAACACCAACTGTATTTTTTTCTGAAAGTACAATGCAGTCTTTGGTGCGTCTCGTCTTTTAATGTTACTATATATGAGCAACTGAATGGCTGGGTGGAAATAAGTAGAGAAGAGCCACATCTGAGTCATCATGCAGTAAGGGAATACAAAATAATCATGGGTAATTCTCAAGCAACAGTGTTGAATGAGAGGGACTTATGATCTGTTCTCAAAAATTCTGGCCATCATGACATGTTTGTTATATAAACCCAAGTCAATGGAGAAGCCGGCAGGAGGTTGCAGATTGAGGTCATGTAAGATCTTGCTTAAGGGCTGCATGGAATTAGCTTAACAACCTCAGGTAGAATTCTAGGAACTGCTGTCATCAGTTGGTGTGGTATGTCATTTTTCTATTTGTTACCACATCGCTTAGTGATGGACCTGCTAGTCTCAGATCTGTAAGTGAAGACTTACCTATAATTAATTTCTTTGTTTTTTTAAAAAAAAAATTCAGAACCATCTCCACCTTCCAAATATTTCCCAAGTAATTGAATAGGTTATGCCATATGAATAAATTTCATTCAGAAACTTGAGAGTTTTGTCCTTGTGATTCTGGAAGAAAATTAAATGTCTTCTTTTCAACCTCAGGAATGGATTCGAGAAAGAAAGGATTGACGCTTTACTCCACAAAATTGAGATCCAGATGAAGCATCAATCAACCCGTTTTGGACTTGTCTTGGCTTCAGTAAGTGATGCTTCTCTCATAAAACCAAGCTACAAAATGTGCAAACTAGTCTTTTAAACACTGCTTGTATGGGATCGTTCCACTGCACAGTTTTTAAGCATTTGCAAAAGGATTTAGGACACAAGTCTAGAATGTGAATAGTGAAGATGCAAAATCTCTTGTAAGAGACTCGAGACACGCTGGAGTCCATGATCTTGATGTTCTTCTCTGTGGAATTTCAGAAATCCCACTAATAACTTAAGGCATGAATATGTGGGAGATGCTTCTGAACAAATGGTCCAGTCAAGAAGAAAAAATAAAGATTGATTGATTCAAGCCCATAATAATGACTTCTACTGGACCATCACTCTAAGTCAGGGGTCTCCAAACTTGACAGCTTTAAGACTTGTGGACTTCAACTCCCAGAATTCCTCCTCCGGTGAAGTTATCTCAGGAATTCTGGGAGTTGAAGTCCACAAATCTTAAACTTGCCAAGTTTGAAGACCCTTGCTCTAAGTCAAAATTGATGAACTTTATGGACTCAAGAACTGTACCAGCACTTGAGATGCTGTATTTCTTTTTTTTTTATGAACAAGTTTTATTGATTTTTGAAGACAAACAAAACATAACACATAGAAGTATAAAACCTCCTTTCTAAGAATTACTTATAAATTTCAACAAGGCAAATAAAGCATTATTTTTTAAAACATGGTTCCACATTATCACACTTCCATTTACACATATATATCTTTTCCAAATTTCTCATTATTTCTCCCTTCACTTTCATTCAATCATATTTCCTTCTATCAAAGTTTCAGTAATTCTCAATCAGTCATAAGCACACAAAATACATAACCTAAAGCAAAACATTGGAGAAAAAAAAAAACCTCCTTAGTTATCATTTATACATATCTTTTCCCAATTTCTCTCCCTTTAATTTCATTTCTCCAAGATTTTATTAATTTAGAATCAAACGTAAATAATCCACACACTAAACATAAAACTTCATTTGAAAAGTGACTTGGCCCCAGGTTACATATTTTTTGACAGACCTAAATCAAATTCATGCCCACCTTACATACCCTTCATATCTTATTAACCATTTTGTATTCTCTATATAACTTCTCCCATCTTTTCACTCTCTTAATTATATTTTATTTATTTCATCTTATTTCAAAGTCATTATACTTATATCTTTTGTCCGTTCTTTACCAAACATCTATGTATCTCTTCCCTTTAACAAAAAATTTCCCCTGTAATCGCTTTTGAAGTATGACGCCTTCTCCTAAAATAAAGCTTAAAATAATACATAATTTCCATCCTGATTCTGCTTAGTACATTCTACATATTAAATCTTAAAATAAAAGAATAGTAAACTTATAGTAAGTATAATTAAATATATAATTTCTATTCTAATTCTAATTCTGATAAGTACATTGTTTTAGGATAGAACAAATAAAATACTAAAGTTATAATAACATTAAAACAAACAAATTAAACTTTAACTAAGCATTAATCATTTAACACAGTCTCCTAATATTTAATCAAATATCAACATCCATCATTATTAAACATTAATATTTCATTAAATATTCCAGTAAACTGTTTCAAATGCAAATACTACGATACTATCTTATGCACTCTTGCAGAATCTTCTTTAATTATAAACTATCTATCATCCTTCATCTCTTAAAAAAAACAACTTTTTAAAAAAAATCTTGTCCTAACCCGTGGCTTTTTTTTTCTTTTTCCCTCCCTTTCTTCTCCAATCTGGTCTTTTTGCCCCCCCCTCCTCTCCCCCTTTTTAAATTTCCCTCTCTGTTGTAATTCTCTTTTCAATTGCTTTCTAACATTGTACCTTCTTTTCACCCTATTTTTCTTTTTCTTGGTTGTTTTATTAAATCTTAAATTCTCCTTTTCCCTTCCTCCCTTCCCATTTTCTTTCTTAATCAAACTTTTTAGTCCATTAAAGATGGCTTCTTCCTTTTCTTCTTCTTCTTCTTCTCCTTCTCCTTCCTCCAGTGTTTGCTGGTACGTAGAAACCGCCATTTCTAAAAAATGGAAGGCAGCTCCCAAAGAATCCTTGCCACTTTGTTGTCTTTCTTTTAATTTTTCATATTCCATTTTCAGTTCATCAACCGATGGTACCATTATAGGTTTTTTTTTTTTTAAACAACCCAGATGCTTTCAATCTTGAAGTAGTTTCCAAATGTCAGAGTTATCAAACAATCCAAACAAACAAAACTTTTTTCCTCTTCTTCTCTTTACAGTTTTTTCTCCAGAGGCAAAATCCCAGATGTATTTTAAAAGCCATATTACCATTAATTAATGGTCTTGTAATCTTCAAGGCGTCTCCTCCAGCAAAGTTAAAAAAAAAAATTTTTTTTAGTCCTCCCCTTCCCACTTATAACAAAGAGCTTATTTTTACCTTTAAAGAGCAAGTTTTTCTGTGCTCCTTTGCTTTCTCCGTAAGGAGGGGGAGTGAGCTTTCCTTCAGCACTTTCGCCGATGTAACAAATTCTTTTGGAAACAAATGTATCAATCCAAAGTCAGGTTTCCAGGGTGTTTTAAAAGTAACATAATGTCATGGTTTAGCCAAGAAAACTTCTCCTTCTAAGACTTCCTCCTGCACAAACTTATCCAGTTGAAGATTCCTTTGTGGCTGCCATGGAGACAGCCGCCCCACCGTCTCAGGAAAAAGGAGTCTAGCCGGCCGGGGAAGAGGGGTGCGATGTCCCCAGACCCCTGCCCGGATCTCCTCTGTCTTCCGCTGCCCCTTCAGGGCAGCGACAACCCCCAAATCCAGTTGGATCGGGGGTACCTTGACAGTGAGCGCAGCAGGGACCCGCAGAGAAGCGGATTCCTGCCGCCGCCGAAGCCTTACAACCGGAAGTGAGAGATGCTGTATTTCTAAAGTTGGATAGGTCAGAGTCTACTGGTAGATTGGGATGAATTTTAAAAGGGAAAAATGGATGCCTTAGAAGTTGGCAAATTGATTTTGCTCCCTGATTGTCCCTCAAGTCTACCCATTCTGCAGAAGGAATGCTGAGAGAGCATTATGCATTATGTATCTTCAGTGGTGCAATTCAACCGGTGTAACAACTGGTTCAGTGAATGCACGCTTTGCATGCACAGCATTTAGAAAAGACCATTTTTAGCTATAATACTTCTACTGCAGCCCCGGTGAGTAAAACAGCTAATGCACGACGAACTGCTCTGCTGCGCGAATCAGCTGAACTTTCCCTTCGCATTTAAAAGGATTGGATGGTCTAGGATGGAAAGACCCAGGACCTAAGACTTTAGAGAGTTGATGCTAATTAAAGCTGATGAATCTTCTCCAGTTGGTATTTTAGAGTTGTCTTCAGACAAAAGTCTCCAAAGTTCCTAGCCAGCCTGAAATTGCATTTGCAACATACAGTAACTGGAGATGCCAAGTTGAGATACACAATGTTAGATGTTCTCATTTTAGGCCAGGCTGTTCCTAACTGGGACTGACCTTGATGACCCCAGAAGTCACCCGTCTTCACTCATTTCTTCCTCTTTTTTGCAGGGGGCAGAGAGGGGGTTGAGGCTCTTCTCTGAATTGTTGGGAATTTGCCGGAATATGTAACTATCTTCAGATACCACTAGTAGGAGCTGCTATAGACAGATAAAACACATTAGCTCTCTCTAAGGCAGGGGTGTCAAACTCGATTTCATGGAGGGCCACATCAGGGTTGTGTTTGACCTCGGGGTGGGCGTGGGCAGCTCGATGTCACTTGTGGCGGTGCCTGTGTCAGCCCGAGCACTCTGCCAGTGAAAACGGGCTCCCGAGCTCCGTTCTGGCTGCAACAGCCTCCTGCAAACCTCTGCCAGTGAAAATGGAGCTCGTTTTTGTTGGCAGAGGCACCACGGGACAGTCCTTCACTGTTTCCAGGGTGGAATCTAAGCACCTGTAGCCCACATCCTGTCCATGGGCCTTGAGTTTGACGCCCCTGCTCTAGGGGACAGTAGTATTAACCTTCATGTGAAATATTTGCATTCTTTTTTCTATTTTTTCTAAGAATATTGCCTCCTGCTGGAACCATGAAGGAGATCCTGTTGATCTTTTGAAAATAGCAGAGAAAGTAACTCAGCTCCGGCATTGCCTTAAGGAGGACCCTCATTTCCTGCAGAAGAAAGTAAAACAATACTTCAAGGTGGGAGTCAGTTGAACCTATGTAGAGCCGGTTTTAACACTGTTTCCAAGAGTGATTAGCCAGGCAATAAGAGTAGCCCAACACAAGCAAGAACTCTCACAAGCTTTCAGAATGAACATTGAGGTTTTGCATTGCATAGAGATCATTCGGTGTCTTCTGAAAGCTTGTATGACTTCTTGCTTGGGTTGGGCTGCTCTAAGTATAAGTGATATGGTGCATCTTCTGGTTTTCTTCCCTATAGTAAAGTTTTTCTTATAAAAAAAAGGATCTAAGGCTTTCACATCGCATACATAAGTCTTCAATTTATTACCAGTTGTTTAGTGGCTGTTCAGGGTTCCAGTAAATCCCATATAAGATGCTTACGTTCCTGTTCCAAAATTTTGATTCTCCCCATCACTTGGCCCTATTTACGGCAATTCATCCAGTCCAGCAGTCACATGACTACAATTTATGACATTATTGCCAAAACCTAGAATTTGCTTCTAGTTTTTGGCAGATATGCCCTATACAGCCAATAATAGGTTCGCTTAATGATCATGGCATTCAGTTAATGATGGTTTACTTAGCAAACATGGTGATTTTTGTAATGGCTTCCACAAAAAAGTCTTAAAATTCGTTCAATCATGTGATGGCCTGCTTTACAATCAACATGATTTACAACCTAATTGTGTAGACCAGGGGGTGTCAAACTGGCAGCCCATGGGCCAGATGCATCGTGCACAGGCCACGGCCACTTAGCTCCACAAAGGGAAAAAACATTGTGAAACGTCATGTGATGGCAATGTAAGGCAGTGAGTTTGATACCCATGGTGTAGATTCTATTATAGTAATGAGGCAAGGATTACCTCAGATTACCATATTTGGAAAATGGGTGGAAATGTCTGTGTGTCTTATACAGTGAATGTTGCCGAAGCTCCACCCACCCACCAGTCCCCACCCTTCGACCTCTCCTAGCAATTTGCCTCAAACAGCAAACAGCCTGGTCAGCTTCAGCACAGCCGGAACGGGCTGAGAATGGGGTGTGTGGAGGCCAAAAACGGGATGTGAAGGCCAAAAATGTAGCTCTTGGAGGCTGTAATAGGCAATGGCAATCCCTGCAGCCTGAAACAGCTGATTGTGGGGAGGCCAATGCAACCGACAATCAGCTGCTTGTGCTAATCAGGCTGTGCTGAAACTGAAACTTGCTGTTTGCTGCAAGGAGGCACAGGTAGATTTTGTTTTGTTTTCCTTCCCACAAGCTAGTTGAGTCTCATACTTTGTAGAGTCTTATACTCCAAAAAATACGGTAATAAGAGAGTTGATGTCAGTTGCTGTACAGCATCAGGAGCAAAGAGAAATTGTTTTTACACTGATTAGAATTCTTCTTTCTTGGCCAAAGGACAACCCACACCGATTAACACTCTCCATGAGTCCAGATGCAGCTTTCCATGACAAGCAAGCAGCTGCAGAGGCAGACAAATTGAAAGAGAAGGTTGAAGCCCTTTCAGAAGAAGAGAAGAAACAAATCTATGAGAAAGGTGCACATCTTCTGAGTCATTAAAATGTTGCCATGCTTGTTTGGTCAATGCTTGTTTTGCAAGTTAGGAAGCGCTCTTCTATCTCTCTTCTAAGTCTTTTTTTATTTTTACTGTTTTGCCATTCCATTCTCTGGATTCAACACTTGATCTCTTAGGTCACATCACCTAATCTCTAAATGCCTGGTCAGAGCCCATAATCTTATTTTACTTACTCAGGATGATCAGAGAGCTACAGAGGGCAGAGAGATTTGAACCTAGTTTTTCCAGTCTTGATCTCTTACAACCATGGCTACTATGAACTATGTTTCTTTTCCCCACTGAGTGCAAAAAGTGACAGTGAAATGAAATAGTCCTAATTTCTCAGATGAGTTCCATGATATTTGCAGGGGCTTTCCCCAACTTGCATCTCCCAAAATGTATTTCCAACAAGCTTGGTGGGAATTCTGGGATTTGCAGAATAATCCAGTTGTTTCTCTGGAAGAATCCTTTTGAGAATTCCTGACCCTCAAAACTGTAGAGCCGGGGTGTTAAACTCGAGCCCCCCAGGCAGGATTCATGCTTCGGCCAGTGAAAACATTTTTGCTAACAGGTTTGCAGGAGGCTGTCGTAGCCAAAAACGGAGCTTGGGAGCCCACTTTCACTGGCAGAATGCTCAGGCTACCACAGGCGCCTCCAACACGAGTGGCATTGAGCTAGCCATCCCCACTCTAGCCATGCCCACCCCAGCCCACCAAGGTCAAACAACCTTGATATAGCTCTCAATGAGTTTGACACCTCTGCTGTAGAGATTCTGACCAATTAGTTCTTGATTTTAAAGCAAGTTAAAAACACCGTCGTGTAATATGCAAGAGGCAAAAAAGTAACCTTTACTATTAAAAAGCCACCTAAATTTTGGAAGCCAGCAGGTGCTATGTCATGCTGTAGCCTATGTGTTGTTTCCCCCCTCCTCTCCTTTGAGTACTTAGCTGATTCTTGAAACACCCCACAGCTATTATTTTTCACTTTGTCTTTGAAATAATCAGTAGACTTTTTAAAGACTTGAAATGGGTCCCTGGAGGACATTATCAGGTCCTTAACTAATGCTACAAGGCTTCCTTCCTTCCTTGCGGTTGGGTGGGTGGGGGAATTTGAATAACTTGCTTTTGTTGGAATTGCTAAATTGATGTTCCCTTTGATCTGCTAGGTTTGGAATTGCTTGATCTGCAAAGCAAACCTCAAGATACTTCCTGTCTTCCTGCTCTGAAAGTTTCAGATATCGAACCAAGGATTCTGTTTACTGAACTGGAGATGGCATATACAGGTTAGGAAAACCGAAGCATGGGAGGGTGAGGGATGAAAATATAATAAATCAAATTCTCTTTAAGTTGAAAATGGAGAGTCTACACATCACAAACTCCTGGGCAGACTTCAGTTCCAGCAATTCCCAGCCCACAGTTTTTACATGAGATAATGTATCAATGTAGTAGAGTTATAAACAGTCCTTTGGATCAGAAGAAAGTTATGGATAGTCCTCTACTTACAACTGTTTCTATAACAATCATTCAAAGTTGTAAGGAACTCAGAAACTGATTTAAGACCAGTCCTCACACTTATGACCATAGCAGTATTCCAGAGCTGTGTGATAAAAATGTGGGCACGTGTCTGTGATGGTTAAAAGAATCCCAGGATAACATGATACCATTTCATCTCAGGTGGCTCTAAGCCCTCAGTGGGGAAACCCAGATATACTTCATGACTGCTTGATTGACTTAACTGCAGTTATTCACATAATCTTGGCAAAAACAGTTTTAAAATTGGGTGTGACCCATTTAGCAACTGCTTTGTTCCCAATGCTGGCTATAAGCCGAGGGCTACCTGTGTGCATCATGGTCATCCTTTCATATGTATATATGGAGAAAGCTAGAAAGCAAGCTAGAAGGACAGCCCTCAGACATTCTTACCAGGGTAGTCCTTGGCTTAGCTTAATTTGTTCAGCAACAGTTCAGATCTGCATTGGCATTGGGGAAAAAAATGGATGTACAATCAGATTATAAAATTCTGGTAATCACAAGACCCCTGCAGTCACATGATTCTGACCCAGGTGCTCCAGTGCCAGGTTAGCAATTACAATATCTCAAGGAGTTGTGGTCATGTGACCTGCGTTGGTGCTTCTCGCTTGCATCCAGGCTGGGACAATTCTCTCAGGCCTTCATCCCTACTGGGCATACCAGTGCTCCTTACCTGAGACTCCTGCTTCTTCCCGCTTAATAACTGAAGCATCTTGGACTACAAAGCAATTGTTATCACTAAGGGACAGAGTCACATGATTTTTTACTTTATGTCTGCATCTTGAGTTTTCTGCCTGTATCACTTAGCAAGGGCAATTCTGGCCATCATAACCAAGGGATTACCTGTACGCTTTGCACACCTGTGTTCCTCTTTTTGGATGATAGATTTGAGGACAGAAAAAGAGATCAATGGGTCTGACAAAACAGCTTAATGAGGTGTTGAGTTGTCAGCGTTTCTGACATTGCTTGGTAAAGTGATCTCTTCTTCTTTCTCTGTAGCTGAGGATGTTCCTGTCCAGTACTGTGCTCAACCCACAAACGGCATAGTTTATTTCAGAGCCATTTCCAGCCTGAACACACTCCCGGAAGAGCTTCGGCCTTATGTTCCACTTTTTTGTAGGGTCATCACCAAGTAAGAATGAGTTATGTCTGAAGCTTTTTCAGCAGTCTTTGCCTCTATCTGGAGATTTTCCTGGTCTTCCACCTAAATCATATTCTTCTCCAACTTACGTTGTGCCAGAATTGTGTGAGTGGCTTGGTTTGGGCGCTATGTTGGATTGCCAATTCTGCCTGCAATATTTTTCAGAGAGATAATATCAAGATAACATGAAGTGTTAGTAATACTTTATAAAGCATTGGTAAGACCACTCTTGGAATATTGCATCCATTTTTGGTCACCACCAAAAGATGCTGAGACGCTAGAAAAAGTGTATAGAAGAGCAACAAAGATGGTTATGAGCCTAGAGGTTAAAACATATGATGAATGATTAAGAGAACTAGGTATTTCTAATCTAATGAAGGGAAGAACTTGGAGTGATATGACAGCAGTCTTCCAATATTAGAGGGGCTGTCACCAAGAAGAGAGAATCAGCATATTCTCCAAAGCCCCTGAAGGCAGCACAAGTAAAAGATGGGAGCTTATCAAAGAACTAAGGAGAGATTTCCTGATGGCAAGAACAATTAAGCGGTAGAACAGCTTGTCTTCAGAAGTTGTGTGTGCTTCATCACTGGAGGTTTTTGAGAAAAGATTGGACAGTCCTTTGTCTGGAGTGATATAAGTTTTCCTGCTCAAATAGGGGGCTGGATTAGAAGACCTCTAAAGTTCCTTTCAACTCTGCCACTCGTGTATCTGTGCAATATAATGGGCTTGGCTCAATCACACGTCACATAAGCAAGCCAAAGTGCTCTGAACACCATCAGTCAGTATCCAAAGATCTCTGTGTGACTATGGGTCACTTCCTTCAGCAAAAGCACCAAGGAGGGGGATGAAGAGACAGTGGGGATGCCAAGTTCCAGGAAAGACTGGATTATATGGAGCCCAAGAATGGCTGCTTCAAAAATTAGTCTTTCCTAAACATTGGGTATAATTATAAGGTTTACCTAGGATGAAAGCCCAATCATCTAGAGCAGGGGTGTCAAACTTGCAATGACACATTGTCGTCACGTGACGTATCTTTTCTCCCCTCCATTAAAATGGGGGGTGGGTGTGGCCAGCACGTGATGCATCCGAGCCACAGGCCACAAGTTTGATACCCCTGATCTACAGTGAATAATTTGCTTGTAGACCCACATAACCTGTATGGGAACCCAGTTTGTTCTTCTCTCTTTACTTTTCATAAGGATGGGGTGTGGAGCATTCAACTACCGAGAACAGGCTTTGGAAATAGATCTGAAAACAGGTGGCCTTTCTGTTAGCCCACATATCAATGTAGATGACTCCCATCTAGACATGTATGAACAGGTGAGTCCGTTTTCAGTTAAGGGCTGGCCAGTTGCACATGGGTAGCCACCTAGGTTTTGCTGAGACAGAATTGCCAATTAGGAAGTCTCAGAACTAAATTCTCATTCTAATTCAATAAGTGGCATCATTCTCTATCTAGCTCTTAATTCTTTCACTTGCTTTCTCTTTTTGTTTTCCTGAACCACTCACTATTTGCAATATGAGGAAAATAAGTCAGGTCCACCAATCAGCATTGCTATAAGAATTACTTTGCAAATAATATAGACTAACGCATTTGGAATAGAAAGTGCAATATCTATGGACGCATTATGATAAAATCAGAAAATCTGAAGGGGAGTGTTTTAAGTTCTTAAGGCTCAGATGCTCTTCTGTGCAGAAATCTAAGTCTTCCATTGAAATTCAAGAACTAAACGACAATTCACCATTTATCTGCATAATTAGTTCTATTTCCAGTTCATGCTTACAGTTAGGAAAGCAAATAATAAATGGTGTGAAATTGTTTTTATTATACATTTGTACTTTGGTAAATTGGATTTCAGTTTTGGATTGTAATTTCACAACTACCATTGGCATTTTGTTTTTTTAAAAAAGCAAGAATCCCATGTTAGTCTTCTTTAAGTAATTTAGGTATCACTTTGCCTTATTATTTTTTTCATTCCTTCCTAAAATTCTTTTTTAGGGTGTGATCTTCTCTTCATTGTGCCTGGATAGAAACTTGCCTGACATGATGCATCTCTGGACTGAAATATTTAACAAGTATGGTCCATTTTAGGGAACAATATTTTTATATAATTGAAGGTGTATCTTTTCCTGTTTGTGTATTTGAATTTATTATCTGCCCAGCTCCAATGGATAGCTCCAGTAGTAATACTAAAACACCTTAGTAAATAACTTCATATTGGTTTATGCATATTAGTAGATTGATTGAACAATGCTCCTTTGGGCTGATGTTTTAATTAAGAGGAAAAGAAGGCCAATAATTGTCTTGTGTGGAGAATTGCTGGTGCTTTGAGCTCCTTTAAAGAGAGTAAAGATGGAATGAATGGAATTAGATCTCCATTCATATGGCCTAAACTATAATGGCCATTAGCGAGACAGAGCTAGTAAACATTTGATGAACGCTCCCAGTTTATCTTATTTGTAACAGAGGTGCCATTTTTCCTTTGTCCCTTTTCTTTTTGCAGACCTCATTTTGAAGATGAAGAGCATTTCAAAGTCTTGGTTAAAATGACAGCTCAAGAGCTATCAAATGGCATTCCTGATTCTGGACATAATTATGCCTTAATTAGAGCAAGCAGGACTCTGAACCTTGCAGGAGAATTGCAAGAAATGTTTCATGGCATGGAGCAGGTGAAATGAGAGGAAAAGGGTTTGATACATCTGGCTTTTTTTAAAAAAGGGAAGATGCCCTTGTTCTATGTTGTCCAGGCCTGCCCATTAAGATTATTTCCAGTGCCTTTTTTTAACTGGAAACACTCAAGACTGCACACGTGTTCTGCATATTATCTTCTGTCATAGTCAAAGCATCATCAAAGACTCCAAGTGTCCTCATGGAGAATCACATGATACAGTCTCCTTTACAGTATAATTTCTCTTTCTAATAAGGGATAAGTTGCTGATCTTTTCAGGGGAAACCAAGAGCCCCAGCTGCTAGCTTGCTTGCCATGTAGGCATAGAATTAGTGATTAAAGCCCTCAAAAGCATTTAAATACTCATTGTAAACATTAATCTTGGGTAATAATTTTCCTGGCATTGATGATGCAACACAGATAGTCCTAAATCTGCAGTCATTCATTTAGTCAAAGTTACAATGGCACGGAAAACAGCATGTTACAACTGGTTCTTAGACTTAACAATTGTTCCATCCCCATAGTCACTTGATCAGAATTCAGCTACTTGGCAACAAGCATGTATTTATGACAGGGGTCTCCAACCTTGGCAACTTGAAGCGTGGTGGACTTCAACTCCCAGAATTCCCCAGCCAGCTTGCTTGGTGGACTTCAACTCCCAGAATTCCCCAGGCAGCTTGCTGGCTGGGGAATTCTGGGAGTTGAAGTCCACCACGCTTCAAGTTGCCAAGGTTGGAGACCCCTGATTTATGATGTCTGCAGCATCCTAGGGATCATGTGATTACCATTTTTTACCAATCCCAGCTGGCTTCCAAAATGCAAAGTCAGTGGAGAAGCTATCTATGCCTTTGCTCTTAATTCCCTTCGTATCCTTTTTCTATTCAGGTGAAACTGATGAAGCGAATTGCAGAAATGGCAGACATTAAGTCTGTGCTCCGAAAATTGCCACGTATCAAGAAATACCTTTTAAATAGTGACAACCTGCGGTGAGTCTGGATTCATCCTTGTAATACTTGCAGGCACCGCTGAATATGCATGATGTCAAAGTTTATCCAATCATGATTTCTAACTGAATCCTAAAAACTTCAGTTTTAAAAGAACAAAAGTAAAATTCACTCTCGTTAGGTCAGTACCACAAATTTTGATTCATCATCCTTGGAGTCCCTCCTTAGATGATAAACACTTGGTTCCTAGCCTCACAAATTTCAAAAACTGCTAATTGATTGCATGTTTCAATAGCATAGCTGCTTTGTGCCCAGATATTTCCATCAGTGAAAATCTAATATCGAAATAACATAAATTGACTAAAGCAAGTAACTTCTGAAGAACCTCTTGAATTGTTACATATAGGACTTCAGACTGAAGAGAAAATAAATTCAGATTCCATTTTAAGATTATTACCTTGAGAATACAGATGCCAGGGGTCTACGTTTCTAGGTAGACCTTTCTAATTAAACTCAAACTTCATGGCTTCTAATTCTGCTGGCTTTCTCCAAAAAAATAATCATTTAGGAGATGAACTATGGGGACTTGAGTACCATCAACAACAGCTCTAGCCTGCCTGCATTCAGTCCACTGGCATCTGCTCTTTTCTGGAAGCGGTGTTCTTGGAAGTAGGTTTGTTGGCTGTGAAAATGTTGGCTTGTGTATTCAAGGTTTTTTTTAAAAAAAATTGACCTCGGAGCTACCAAACAGCCCCAAGATTTGCTTCTTCTTTGGAGCTTAAAGATAAGAGACCTATCCTTCACTTAGTCCTTGTTCTCTGCAGCTTTCAAGTTGGGAAGAAAATTGGTTTCTCGTTAGATTCATCAGAGACCAGGTTGTACTCACTATGGCATAAGGAATAGTTGGAGCTTCTTCAGGTTTCCAAAGATCCATCGTACTTCTAAGAATCCATAATTTAACATGAACAAAGGTGTTTGGGAGAAGCATAAATGGCCTCCATTTAAAGAAATGTATTACTTTTCAAAAACAGGCATTAAAATACAAACTAACATAAAGGGGGGAAAAAATGAAGGGAATAAGGATAAGTTAAAAAGTGGAGGGAAATATAACAGATATAAAACAAAAATGATCTCCAACTTTTTCAGTACAGGAATAATAGGACATGACAGTTTTAAGTTTAAATGAATAACAGTATTAAATGCTAATAATATATTAGTATATTAGTAGTAATTACTATTAGATAATGGCATTAGATTATACTAACCAGAATGATTAATAGATTAAATTCTAATATTCTAAAAGAGCAATATTTATAATGCATTTCTATTAATTTTAATCTAACATAATAAATTGTCATATATGAATGAATATTTGAATATTTCTCTAATCAAATCAGATGGCTGCATTTCTTTGGGTGAAAATAATACACATTCCTCCTACACAGATGTGCGGTGAATGCTACACCTCAGCAGATGCCAGTTGTCACGAGAGCTGTGGAAAATTTTGTCCTGGGAATTGCCAGAAGTAAAAAGGAACGGAAGGCTGTCCGTCCGCGCATAATTGAGGTAATGGAGGAAACTAAATTAAAATATGTTTGTGTAAATGTGATATATAAAGGGAATGACAGTAGAAGTATCAGGAATAAATGGCTATATCTCTGTGATACATTTTAGCAGTTTACAGGAAGCTCCTGATTATACATCTCTGGTCAAAAGTAGAGATGCTAAATCAAATCCATAACTTAACAAACAAATTAACAAAATGAAATTCAGTGGTGCAAAAAGTATGGCTCTACATGTAGGCAAGAAAAATCAAAAGCACAGGTGCAGTATATGTGGTACCTTGCTCAATAGTAGTAACTGAGAGGGATCTCGGAGTCCTAATGGACAACCATTTAAATATGAGTTAGCTATGTGCAGCAGCTGCCAAAAAAGCCAACAAAGTTCTAGGCTGCATAAACAGGGATAGAATCAAGATCACGTGAAGTGTTAATACCACTTTATAATGCCTTGGTAAGGCCACATTTGGAATACTGCAACCAGTTTTGGTCGCCACAATATAAAAATGTTGAGACTCTAGAAAGAGTGCAGAGAAGAGCAATAAAGATGATTAGGGGACTGGAGGCTAAAACATATGAAGAACAGTTGCAGGAATGAGGTATGTCTGGTCTAATGAAAAAAAGGACTAGGGGAGACATGATAGCAGTGTTCCAATATCTCAGAAGCTGCCCGAAGAAGAGGGAGTCAAGCTATTCTCCAAAGCACCTGAGGGCAGGACAAGAAGCAGTGGGTGGAAACTAATCAAGGAGGGAAGCAACTTAGAACTAAAGAGTTAGAACTATTAATCAGTGGAACAACTTGCCTCCAGAGCACCTGAAGGGAGAAGCAGCAGCAATGGATGGAAACTAATCCAAGGAGAGAAAGCAACCGAGAACTAAGGAGAAATTGCCTGACAGTTAGAACAATTAATCAGTGGAGCAACTTCCCTCCAGAAGTTGTGAATGCTCCAACACTGGAAGTGTTTAAAAAGATGTTGGATAATCATTTGTCTGAAGTGGTGTAGGGGATTGGATTAGAAGACCTCCAAGGTTCCTTCCAACTCTGTTGTTCTATTGTATTCTTACTCATGGTGTCTGTGGTTCTGATTAATACAGAGGATTTTAAAGCAGGTGGGGGAAAGTGCTTTTGTCATTGATTTTTGTGCAAAATCAATGGGAAGGAAACACTTCTGTCAAAACTCCATGTAGCTTTTGGAAAAAGGACAAAGGAACAGAATGCTAATGTAGTACTCGTGTTTTTACCAATAGAAGAGAATATTTGTACTCAGGGTTGAACTGTAGAGTCCTTGCTGCTCTCTGAGTTTGGTTTGGAATGTTCTTGCAGACATTTTGTTATCCAATTAGTTAACATCTAGAAGTACTAATGGGTAATGAAACGTGTGCAAGAAAACATTCAAGCTCTGTTTCAACAGTCACTTGTGTTTTTCCACAGCAATGTTGATTGTCAGTTTTTATAAATAATAAAGGTTTAGCAGAAAAATTAGGTAGGGGTAGTAGTTCATTAGGCATTTGCTACTTTGATCAGATGCAGGCCATTCCCCCCAATTGTATTAAGATTAATTGATTGAAGAGATACAAGAACATGCTTCCTGTTTCCTTTCCCTACAACAGCATACTTCAGTTTTAAGTCCTATGGTCTCCTGCTTGAGAGTCTAGGACAATTCACCATGGCCAACTCGCCATGAGTCTTTTGCCATGGGCATCTCGCCATGGCCAACTTGCTGTGTTACAAATTGCCCAGAAAATTCTACTTGGGATAACACAATGCAATGTTATCCACCATTGCTTTTTTTTTTTTTTTGACATTATTTCCATTCACAAAATGGAAATCATGTCAAAGAAACAGTGGTGGAGAACATTTTGTTCAGTTATCTCCATGGAATTTTCCAAAGTGAGTTGTCCTGTGGCAAGTTGGCCACGGTGAGTTGTCATATAGCAAGTTGATTGTGAAATGGCCACAGTGAGCTGTCCGTGGCAAATTGTGCTATTCTGCTGCTTGGGAATATGGGGATTGTAATTGCCTTTGGGAATACAGATAGTCCTCAACTTATGGCCACAACTGAGCCCAAAATTCCTATTGCTAAACAAGGCAGTTAAGTGACTTGCCTTATTTTTACAATCTTTCTGCCACAATTGTTAAGGAATCACTGCTGTTTTCATTGAGCAAATCTGGCTTCCTCCATTGACTGCTTGGGAAGGATCTAATTCATGATCACATGACCCAGGACATTGCAACTGTTATAAATACATCGCAGTGGCCAAGCCCAATGCATACATGGGTATGCTGTACCAGTCATAAGTGTGAAAATCATTTTTTAGTGCCCATTGGAACTTTGAACAGTCATTAAGCAAATGCAAATACAAGTTCATATCTCCCATGGAGAGTCTTCCATCTTTAATCCTATCTATAAGGATGTCCAGATGTTGGAAGACTAATCAAGATTTTACTTGGTTAATATTTGAATTGGAGGCCACCAAGCAATCTTGCAGCTGTAAGTTAGGCTGGGAAGTTACAAAGCCAAACGAAAACCAAAATAACAATGGCAAGCGAATTCTCTACTGCTGTGGAAAAGCCTTTTGTGATGGGTTGATCCAAGCTTCACTTGAGAGAGAGACTTTGGTTGACAATCTGCATTCCTACAAGTGGAAAAGTGAATCATTGAATCGCTCAGTAAGACTGCATTAAAACTGTACCTTTTCAACCGAACCTTGTATTTCTAGAAACCTTCAGATTCCAAATCTGCTAGCAGTGAGGCTGGTTCCCAGATCACAAGGAAACTAATTACGGTGAGGCTGTTTTCTCTGACCTAAGTTATAATTACCCAAACCTTTTGGGGAGAGAGGTAGGACTTTGCAAAGAGAATACGAAGCTGGTCTTGCAACAATACCTTGATCAGTAGTATCTGTGAAACCTAACATTTCTTTTATTATGTTCTTGTGCCATTTCCTCATCCTTTAGAGGGCCTTCAGTGTAGCATGTGAAACAATTTGGGGGCTCGCAAGTCTGATGGATGGTATAGAAATTTTATAAACAAAATGTAAACTATTTATACGTTTGTATGAAACATGCATATCCATACTTCTAGTACTATGGGCAGGAAAAGATCAAGATATCTATTTAGAAGGGTTTGCTATCAGCATAGGCAAAAGTCATAAATCCATATACATATTTAAGAACAAAGCTTTTAAAACTACAGGAAATCTGACAGTGAGCAGTTCAATAATTAATTAGGAATTGCCTGATAATTCTTCAGTTTTGAAGGTGGAGGGACCACATGAATTTTAAAGTCTAGGCTCAAGATATTCACTGAAAGAAAAATGATATTTTTTTTGTTTTTTTCAACCAAATTCTTTGTCTCAAGGGGAGGTGGGAAGTTCTAAGCAAGAAGAGTCAGATTCTGGCAAGGACACCTGATCCTAATTTATTTTCTTTTTTCTCTTTCTCTTTTAGGATCCCACTTTTCAACCCTGTCAAATGAAGACCCATTTTCTGCTTCCCTTCCCTGTAAATTATGTGGGTGCTTGTGTTCGCACTGTGCCTTTCACAACCCCAGAGTATGCAAGGTAGGCAGAGGGATATGCTATCTGATCATACATTTGCAGATTAAGTTGAAGGTGGAATGTAAAACAACATCTTGTGATTCTGCTGAGAATATAAATATAGATAAAAATGATGATGCTCTCGTGATACTTTATACTGCAAAGGGCAGACTCTGGGCTCTTTTGGGATGCAAAGAGCATCATTATGTAGTAGATGTATGCATTGATTTAAAGCCAATTTGGTTCCAAACTGCTTGAAGGTATAAATTGAATTCATGCAGAGTAAAATTTTCCACGAGGTATTGTGGAAATCCTTTATCTATTGATTTCAGCATTTGGTTCCCTGGTTACCACACAGGGAGATCTGGAAGCATGACTCGATTGTCTCTTGAACTAAGACATAACATAAATTCTTTGACTTGAATTTAGCTTAGTGTGTGAAACCAATTTTATTAGTAAATCATTATTTTGATTATTTACTTCTACTTGTATGTTGCTGATTCCAAAGTGAATAATTAGAAACATTAACAAAGAAATATCTCAAAGTTATTCATAAAAGGGAGGGAGGGAAGCAAGCAAGCAAGCCATTACATGCCCTCCTTCTATTCTTGATGGAACAACCAGACCTTAACTCCAGGAGCAGACTGGATATTCATGAGCAAGAATTCCAGATTATATGAATTATCAGAAAGCATTTTTATATAGATGGGATCAGGAGATAGTTGACCCTGCTTGATCTCATTGGGTAGACAGCTCAATAAGGGAGAAGGTGGCATCAAGGATAACCTGGTCCAAGCTATATAAGGCCCTAAAGGTGACCACCAGCACTTCGAATCACACTCAGAAACCAAGCCGCAACCAATGGTGTTCCCAAAGCTTTGGGTCATGTGTTATAGCAAGATATACCCACGAGAGTCTAGGTCAGTGGTTTACATTTATTTTCAGTCCTTAAACTTTGCACAGGTAGTCCTTAACAGCAGTTCATTTTTAGTGATCGTTCAGAGTTACAACAGCACTGAAAAAAATGACTTAAAACTATTTTTCACACTTACAATTGTTGCAGCATCCCCATGGCCATATCATCAGAATTTGGACATTTGGCAACTGACTCATATTTATGATGATTAAAATGTCCCAGGCTCATACGATCACCTTTTGCAACCTATGGACATGCAGTGTCCATAGGGAAGCCAGATTCACTTAGCAAGTATGTTACTAATTTAATAACAACGGCAGTGATTCACTGAACAACTGTGGCAAAAGGGGCAAAACTCTCACTTGGCAACAGAAATTTTGGGCTCAGTTGTTGTAATTTGAGGGCTAAAAATTATTTCACTAAACTCACCTGGTGTTTTCAGACATATCAATCCAAAGTTCCTTATAGCTGAAAACCTGTTAGCAAGCAATTTCAGAAAGTGATCAGAAAAGGAATCATGTCGACTTGCAGGTTTTTTGTGAGGAGTAACTATGTGGAGTAGGTGTCATCCCGGGGTCAGCAACCCACGGCTCAGGAGCCACATGTGGCTCTTTCATCTCTCTGCTGCAGCTCGCTGTTTGCTCTTTGGCTCCACAATTGATAGGGCTTTCGGTTAGGACAGGTAGAGGAAAAAGGAGGCTGCCCTAGGAAGAGACTCTATAGTGGGGAAACCGGTCTTCCAGTTGGCTCCAGAATCGGACAGAGAATTTCCAGTTAGGACCTTTGTGGCTTTTTGAGTGTTTAAGGTTGCCGACCCCTATGACCCCTGTGATCAATCTCAAGTCCTCCTCTTGTCCGGAGATGAATTCCAAAGAACTGGTCTACTCTCCAGCTTTTCATTCTGCTGTAGTCATTGGTTCGCTTTTGTTTTCAATTCACCATTTTTTCCCTGAACCTCAAATGAGGCTGAACTTTTGACAAAGATTTATCTAACACCCCCTGCTAATCTCTTTCCTTTCAGCCTTCGCCTCCTGGCCCGTTTAATGACAGCAAAATTCCTGCATACGGAAATCAGGGAGAAGGGAGGTGCTTATGGCGGTGGTGCTCATATCTCTCATAACGGGATATTCAATTTCTACTCCTATAGGTAACAACCGGACTTTGGGTGGTAGAGGTGGTGGTGGAAGGGTTTATACTGGCATGGACCAATGTCTCTTTCCCCAATTTTCTGGTTTTGTTTGATGGATACCAGCCTTTTTTGATCTTCTCAGGATGTCAAAGGAATGGGCTCAAATATGGAAAATTCATAAAGAAATTAGAAAAACAAGAATAGTTTATGGTTGCTTTCACTTTGTAGAGGTTAGCTTTCCCATCTCACAACTCAACGGCTCTCAACAGTTGAAAGCAGGGATGGGATCCGACAGGGTTAACTATCAGTTCGGTGATTTACGATGTGCTTCCCTGCACGCGCAGCACGCCTGTAAATCGTCATCAGCATGCTGTGTGCAGAGAAGCAGCCTTTGAAAAAGGACTTTTTTCCTGCTTTTTCGACTGCAGCTGTGCGTCCTGCGGCAGCTGAAGTTGAAAAAGCAGGAAATAAAGGTCAGGTAAGAACCCGGGCAGGCGGGTGGGCAAAAACATCAGCAGATATAGAACTGCTCTTCAGAGCTACTGGTTCTACAGAGCCGGTAGAAACCCACCCCTGGTTGAAAGTAGTTTAATTCAAAAGTTGGCCTCCAGATTAAGTAAACCATCATCTGGACATGTACAGTAAAAGCTCCCAGCATATTGTGTTAATTTGATGTATGCGCATAATCAGTAAATCAAGGGTGTGACTCCTTCCATTGGTCATACAACGACATAAATGCAGATAATGAAGAATTCAGATACTGACTCTGTTTCTCTAAGGCAGGGGTCTTCAAAACTTGACAACTTTAAGACTTGTGGACTTCAACTCCCAGAATTCCTTCTCCAGTCATGTTAGTTCAGGAATTCTGGGAGTTGAAGTCCACAAATCTTAAACTGGCCAAGTTTGAAGACCCTTGCCCTAAGGCCATGCAGAAAATGTATCTATTACGCGGGCAAGATAGTTAAATTTTGGGTTGATCCAACACAAGTAAAAGGGGAAGTGTTATTTGGCTGTAAACTTAACTGCAATGACTTTGATGTTATAGGGATCCAAACTCCATGAATACTGTGGCTGCTTTTGAAAAGGCTGCAGAATGGGCCAAGTCAGGGATGTTTACTCAGCAAGACATCGATGAAGCCAAACTTGCTGTGTTTGCATCAGTAGATGCTCCAATTGCTCCGTCTGACAAAGGTAGGTAAACTTGTCTTGTTGGCCTGAGCTCATGAATGCAAGTAGCTTCCCCTGAAATGTAGCTGTTTGTAAGTTTTCGCATTGATGGTTGGCTCAGCCATAGTTTCCTTAGTTAGCTTCTGGAGAACATTTGCTTATGTGTAGAGGAAATCAAATGGGGATGGGAAGAATAAAGGCCGGAGCAGTAAATGTTGCATTTCTTTAAAGGTTGCAATGCATGGTAGAGTCTAGAGAAAAACATCCACCTTTGTGGAAATGCTCTGCTGGATCATCTGACTCTTCTTGCATTGCCCAACCACTGCACAAGGAAACCCATTAGTCTTCCAGAAGATGACATTCAGATGTAGTCACACTGGTAACAGCTTTGATCCCCATGACTTCCACAAATCAGTGCAATTCTTTTGAAACTAAGATGGGAGCCAGAACTACATGTGATAGTAGCAAATTTCAATATATGTTGTGTAAAAAAAAATGTTTTGTCCTGATAGGATTCAGCTTCATTGAGTAACCTTATTCTAGCATTTTGGGGAAGGTGAAATAGCTTCTACTTATCCAGTTTATCCCCATTGTGCATAATTTTGTACAGCTTAATCATGTTGTCTTTCATATGCCTCATTTCTAGGCAAAAAGAGCTCCAAAATTTTCAGCCTTTCTTCATAAGGCCAGCCCCTTCATTATCTTAGTCCCTCTACTCCGCACCACCTTTTCAATACCATTCAACCTACAGACACAGCCAATAAATATTATGTCCTCATCTTAATTGAACTGTTTGCCATTACACTAAGGTCTCTTATCAATCATTGCTAGCTCTGATTCCATCATTTGTATAAGTAATTAGGATTTTTGGCACCACATTAGGACACCAAGATGAAGTGCAGATAACTAACATAATTCTCATAAAGTAAGAATCTGGCGGCTTTAGCATGCTAATCTATTTATTAGGCTTCTTCCAAGCATGACAAAATGCTTGGTAGCTTTGAAACTAAAATGAACTTCAATTAAGCAGAGATTGAGTGCAGCCATTTAAATACCCATAGAAGCTCTAAATAATTCTAGATGGTTGATAGTAAATAAACCAGAATTCTGAAAATTGTGCTATTACTTTGCAAGTGAATTCACTTATCTCTATTATGTTTTTGAGAGGAGAAATCCATTTACTGTTTCAGTTAAGGCAAACAATTATTCTCTGTGTTTACATATTGAGCTGTTTGTGTTTGATAGAATGCAAATGCATCAATAATGGGAGGAATTACTTGGAACTGATTTGCATAATGTTTGGATATGCATATTGTTCCAGACAAATAAATTAAAGGGGAATGCTTGTTAACAAATGGATCCATTTATTTTATGAACTGAGGAATCGGAGTGTAAGATAACCATCTGGTGCTGTTATCCTTAAGACTGATATGAATTATTAGCATTTGTGATTTCTGCTTTTAGGGATGAATAATTTCTTATATGGGATCTCTGATGAGATGAAGCAGAGGCACAGAGAACATCTTTTTTCTGTCTCCAGAGAGAGCCTGATAGATGCAGCTAACAAGTGAGGTTTTTTAAATATATTTTTTAAATTTTATTTTATTATAACCGAGGCATTTGCTACATAGCCCATTTAATTTGGCATGAACATTTCTCTCCCGATTCAAGCCCATATCATATTTCACTTGGTGGTTGTGTTTTGCCAAGTGTCGGGGCAGTGATCAAGGTGCCTAGGCAATTGGTTCTTTTGGATCCTGAGAAAGTAGATACTCCAACTGTGCTGGCTGGAATGGATATTTAGTTTAGGAATGAGAGCTGCCCCCTTAAGGGAATGCTTCATGGGAAATGTAGTTTATGTCACGTGGTTATATCTGTACTCCTGATTGGCTATTGGGTTAATCTGGTTGGACAGGGGGAGGTTTTTTTTGCATTCTTGCCTGGACTCCAGCATCACACGGGAGTTTTCTTTGGCTCTTATGGGATAAAGGTCACCTGCTTTCACACTGTTTAAAGTTACAGATTGAACATTGGATGAATCTCTACATTAACTCACACCGCAATGGCCAATCAGGAGTACAGATGTGACCACGTGACATAAACTACACAAAGCATTAACTACATTTCCCATGAAGCATTCCCTTAAGGCAGGGGTGGGCAATTAATTTCTGTCGGGGGCCACATGGAAAATCAGATCTGCGTTCAAGGGCCGAACCAATTTTATAAAAGGCCATTATAAAGGGCCCATTATAAAATGCAGCAAATTATATATATTTATATTATATTATATTATATTATATTATATTATATATATA